AACACCAATAACAACTAAACCATTAAAGCAGAAACCCATGGAAATGCTACAAGCAATAGGTAAAAAATACAGCAGCATAAAATACATTTCCCCCTGTAAGATACTCATTCCAGTTTCATATATCATGAAATATTAGTGCATCACAAAAGCTAAGAAACCGAGCTGCCCGATTCAAACCTAGAATCCATTCAATATTTTAAGTAAGCTTCTGTTTCTCAGCCTGACTCCATCTTCATTTTAAAGCACTGGTGTATAAGTGTATTTTAAGCCTACAGTTCAGCTTTTGCCAGTTTTCAAGTAAAGGCAAGTTGCAATTATGTGCAAACGCAGAACTGCAGTGACCATCAATTTGTATACACAATACAGGCTCAGAAACCATGGTCTGAAGATGGCTTCTTTACTTATTTAGCATGTCCAGAAGTAGCAAATACAACTGAAGCCAGAAACAAGTTCTTCTGATCACATCACTCCAAAAAAATGTAATGAAAATCATGTGTTTGGAGAAATTAATAAACCAGCATTTTCCATTACACCCCAAATAAGACTTCACAAGAACGTTACACATGCATATAAAGGCATCACACTTGTCTGATCAGTTCATCAAGATCAACCTTATTTGGGCCTAAAACTTGCCCTCAGCTTATACACAAGTATATATGGTAACTAGAGAAAGCCACTTGTAGCCTTTGCAAAAGTTACGGTGACTGCCCAGCCTTATGAGCACTGATTAGTAAATCCACTGAACTCTGGAGGCAGATTTGCTTTGGTATGCTGACTAGCAGCTGGAAAAAAACCATTTAGACAAGTTGCTTACTGCAATGGATACCAATGCCAAGCAAATATCTTTTTATGCACATCGCCTATAACTAGAAGGGTGTCAGAAATGCTGTATATGCTTTAAATTACATTATTAAAGTAATGTTTTCACTGGATTGTTTAATGTATTTAAAATGTTTGTATTTAATAAAGTGAGTTTACATTGCAGAATTAATACAATTTGACACCACTTTAACTGCTATGGCTCAATGCTATGGGATCATGAGAGTTGTAGTTTTACAAGATTGTTAGGCCTCTCTGTCAAGTAGAGCTGGCATCCCACATATTGATTGAGCTATGACAGCTCAACTGGTGTCAAACTGCATTAAATCTACAGTGTAAAAGATAAAGGTTTTCCCTTAACATTAAATCATAGAATCATAGAATCAAAGAGTTGGAAGAGACCTCATGGGCCATCCAGTCCAACCCCCTGCCAAGAAGCAGGAATATTGCATTCAAATCACCCCTGACAGATGGCCATCCAGCCTCTGTTTAAAAGCTTCCAAAGAAGGAGCCTCCACCACACTCAGGGCAGAGTTCCACTGCTGAACGGCTCTCACAGTCAGGTTGTGTCCGACTCTGGGGAGTGGTGCTCATCTCAATTTCTAAGCTGAAGAGCTGGAGCTATCCATAGACACCTCCAAGATCATATGGCCAACATGACTGCATGCAGCGTCGTTACTTCCCGGCAAGGTGGTACCTACTGATCTACTCACATTTGCATGTTTTCAAACTGCTAGGTTGGCAGAAGCTGGGGCTAACAGTGAGAGCTCACCCTGCTTCCCAAATTCAAACCACCGACTTCTCGGTCAGCAAGTTCAGCAGCTCCCATGTTGTTTTAATCTTTTTGATTTAACTGTATTATCAGCCATGTTTGAATTTAGTTTTGGAGGAAAGGCGGGGTACCAATCAATCAGTCAATAAATTGTACAGTAATATCATATCATATCATAATGTAATACAATATAATACTAATAATATAATATTATAATTATATATTGTATATTACATGTAATATTACTAATAATATTACAGTATGGTATAGTACAATATAGTAATATATAATACTAATATTGTGTTATGGTAATAATGTAATATATTGTATTTACATTTTACTTGTAAGCCACTCTGTGTCCCCTTCAGGGTGAGAAGGGCGGCATACAAATGTCGTAAATAAATAAATAAATACAGTATAGCCTTACACAAAGGGAAAGAGCAGGCTGGAAGTTGGCACTCCAACCTATTATGAATTTTATGTTTGCTCAAATTCAGAAGTATATATAAAAAGGCTTGATTTGAGATTTCCAGGGTACATCTCCACTGTAGAATGAATGCAGTTTGATACCACTTTTAACTGCATTGGCTCAAAGCTATGGAATCATGAGAGTTGTAGTTGTACAAGGTATTCACCTGTCTCTTCCAAAGAGTCAACAAAATACATCTCCCACGAGTCTATTGTATTGAGTTGTGGCAGATCAAGTTGTATCAAACAGCATGAATTCTACAGTGTAGATCAGGCATGGGCAAACTCTACCCATCCAGGTATTTTGGACCTCAACTCCCACAATTCCTAACAGCCGGTGGGAGTTTAAGCCCAAAACACCTGGAGGGCCTAAGTTTGCCCATGCCTGGTGTAAATGCCCACTCGGAAGCCAGCTGTTGGAAAGCCTTGTAAAGACATTGTGATCATCAGTCCACAGAACTCTAGTCAACAATGCATTTCTATACAAAGAAACGAACACAGCAGCTCCCAGTATTGCTGCAGTTTGGCACATCAGTACAATACAGGGAAACGTGGCAAGTGATTGAAAAAGCATTCCTGTCCCCTCCTCACAGAGCACAAGCCTTCTTACACAAATTCCACGTCTCATGCTGCAATCCTAAGGGACCTCTTTGCAGCAAACACACGTTAATATTTTGGGGAGAGGATGCCATGCTAGAAACTGTGGTTGCGGGACAGAGTAGCAGGAACAAATCCCATTCCGACAGAGCAGGAATGGTCAAACTTTGGCCCTCCAGGTGTTTTGGACTTCAACTCCCCACAATTCCAAACAGCTGGTAGGCTGTTAGGAATTGTGGGAGTTGAAGTCCAAAACACCTGGAGGGCCAAAGTTTGACCATGCCTGCTACGGAGGCTTACTCTGAGTTAACACACTCATACTTTGCAAAAGAAGGCACATATGCATAACAAGCATGTTGTATCACACCTCGAGTCATAACAAAATGCAGGTAACAAATACAACTTATTGTTCTTGTTGTTAGGCAAAACTGCCCTAAAATATACAGCAGAGCATCCAAAGCAAACAGGATACAAAAGTGAGCAAAGTGTGAAGGTGCCGTGTGATGTGGCTGTAAAGAATTCAGAGCTTAGGCAGGCAAAGTCCAATCTTAAAAAATCACAAAAAGTTTATTTACTTCAAAAAGAATAACTAAATTTCTTAATAGTAAGGAACTGAGTCTGAGCTACTCTTAACACCCATCTCTTCTAAGTTTTCAAGAGAGTGAAAATCATCCAAGCACTGCATCTCTCCTGGCACACAAGCAGAGAGAGATTTCAAAGCACACAGCACATACTCTCCATACTAGTGTAAGAATACAGAAGTCAGATTCAAAAAGCCTGAAGTAGAAAAGTATTCATTTTAAACAATCAGAATGAGAGCAGAAACAGAGAGGAGAGAGCAAATACATACATTCCCAACTGTCATACAGGAGACACTTAGGAAGAGAAGGTAAAGGTTTTCCCCTGACATTAAGTCCAGTCGTGTCTGACTCTGGGGGGTTGATGCTCATCTCCATTTCTAAGCCAAAGAGCCGGCGTTGTCCATAGATAACTCCAAGGTCATGTGGCCGGCAGGACTGCATGGAGCGCCATTACCGTCCCAACCTATTGATCTACTCACATTTGCATGTTTTCAAACTGCTAGGTTGGCAGAAGCTGGAGCTAACAGGGGGAGCTCACCCTGCTCCCAGGATTTGAACCAGTGACCTTTCAGCCAGTTAGAATAATTCTTCCTAGATAAAAACTCCCGCTGAGATGAATAAATGAGGGACCTTCATGGGAAAGCACCTGATTGTTCTGACCTAAGCAAGAAAGCACACTGGCAGAAGCTGGGGCTAATGGCGGAAGCTCACCCCGCTCCCCGGATTCGAACCTATGGACTTTCGATAATTAAGTTCAGGAGCTGTGCAGTTTAACCCACTGCACCACCGGGGGCTCTTAGTCTATTCTAAACTAACTGAATACTTCCTCATTGAGGACTTGAGCAGTGTGGGGTTGAATCCCATCAATTATTAGGTTTATTTATTTATATACCACTTTCCTCTCCCAAAGGAGACTTGTCATTACTAATATTGCTTACTTTCCTGGACCACAAGCCAGCTAATACCAACAAGGCTAAGAGTGCACCTGCACTGTAGAAGGAATGCAGTTTGATACCACTTTGTCTGCCATGGCGACCCAAAGGGTAGTTATGCCAAATTCGAGCCAGAAAGAGGAGGGTGGCTGAAATATCAATTGCACCAAATTATTTGACATCTCTTTAAAACTTCCAAAACTAAATTTTCCTTATTAGTATTATTATTATAGCGCACATACATTATATATATATATATATATATATATATATACACACACACACACACACACACACACATACATATATATACACACACACATGCACATATATGCCTTACATTAAACCCATAACCCAGCAAAGCCATTCCAAAGCTGCCCTTGCCCTGGCATCCTTCTCTTGTGCACATCTCTGCATTTTTGGGCGATGACATCTTCTGCTTCTGGAGCCAACAAAGGCTACACACCCACTTCCAGCCTCTGACTCACTGGATTAAAGACAGAGTGGAGAAATCAGGCATCCAAGGGTGCATCTACACTGCAGAATTAATGCAGTTTGATACCGCTTTAGCTGCCATGGCTCAAGGGTATGCATTGCCCGCCATCGGTGGTAGTTGGGAAGAAGAACCAGCCCCTTTTGGCAGTAGTGGCTGAAAAACCTTGCAAAACTCCCTCCATTCCATAGTAGCGATGCCTGGCAGTTAAAGCGATGCCAAACCGCATCTTCTGTACTGTGCAGATGTGCACAAAAGAAGCACACGCGCTATTTCTTATTTTCCTCCTCCAAATTAAGAAAGCAGATGCATTATCAATGTGCAAGCCTCTCCCTCACCTTGAGTGGTGGCTCCTTCTCTTTCTCTCTGTGTGTCTCTTCTTTCTTTCTTTCTTTCCTTCTCTTCTTCCTCGGGCTTCCCAAAGCATCGCCCGCAATCAGCATTTCTCTCCCCGCCGCAGAGCGAGCCGCGCATCCATGCTACCCAAGAGGCGGCTTGGAGCGGAGGGCTTCGCGCGATTGGAGGAGGCCAAAAGGGATCTCGCGCCCCCATTGGTCCTCCGAGGTGTCCATCTCTGTGTTGCTAGGAGCAAAAGAAGGAGGGGAATGAAAGGGGAGGCTGGCTTGCTTTGGTCCTCCCTTTCCCGCCCCCGCACTCGCAGGCCTCGCATTCCGAGGATGACCACGTGACCCGCCTAATTGAGCTCTATTGTACAGCTGTGCCCTCGCTCTCTCTCGCTCAGTGCAGTCCAGTTCTAGCTCCGCTACAGAAGACTGAAGACCGACAGGTTGCAGGTTCGAATCCCGGGAGAGCGCGGAGGAGCTCCCTCTGTCAGCTCCAGCTTCTCATGCGGGGACATGAGAGACGCCTCCCACAAGGGTGGTAACACAACAAAACATCCAGGCGTCCCCTGGGGAACGTCCTTGCAGACGGCCAATTTTCTCACACCAGAAACGACTTGCAGTTTTCCCAAGTCGCTCCTGACACGACAAAAAAAAGCCAGAGCTCAATGCTGGGGTATCCTGGAATTTGTAGTTTTCTGAGGCACCACAGCCCTCTTTGGCAAAGAAGGCTAACAACCTTGCTAAGCTACAACTATTGTAAATCAGAACATAAGGGCATTGGGAACAGCCCTGAAAATTCCCTTTTAAAATTATGTTTCCCTCACTATGGCCACCCGTATTATAAAAAAAAATTCTAGAATCAGGACAGTAAATACGAGAATTCTAACAATCGGCCAGAGAGCACCTCCCAACAAAGGATTCCCCCAGACAGGAAACAGCCAGGCTTTGAAGGTGCAAGGCTATTCAGTGCCAATCAAGCTGGCCAATTACAATATTCACACGTGCCTCAAGCAGACAAGAGTCTTTCTCCCACCCTGGACATTTCACAGATATATAAACCTCACTTGCCTAGTTTAGGAACAGATCTCACAACCTCTGAGGACGCCTGCCATAAATGTGGCTAAAACGTCAGGAGTGAATGTTTCTGGAACATGGCCATACAACCCGGAAAACTCACAGTAACATCTAACTCTTATGGTTCTGCAGCACTGAGCCGTAGTGGTGTCAAGCTGCATTCATTCTGCAGTGGAGATGCACTACAATCAAAACCCATTGTGTTCCAAGGACCCATAGCTAGCACCCCACCCCAAATCATATTTGTGCATTTGGGATGGTAACGTGAACTTTTCATCATGAACAAGAGTAGGGATTCATTTGTGGATTTCTCTGAATACTATAGATGTTCTTTCATTGAATGTATCTAGGGAGCTATAATTGGAATGTGCTTTGCAATGTTAGACGACTTAGTACAGTACAATGGCTGATCCTAAGTGTTCCAGCTTCGAAAGCAAAGCAATGGGCTGTTCTTCTTGATCAATATTGGATTCAGTCATTCCCTTCACCGCTCAAAGCTCAAATTCCAGAAAATTACCTTTTGCTTCAAATGAAATACGACACAATGGTGCCATTCTCTCATTTTGTCTTGGTTCGATTGCCTCTTAAGAAACAACTTCCTTATAATATTATTACAAGAGGATATTTATTTGGCCATAATCATTTATAGAAGCATTTCTTTGCTTTATTTTGATCTTGCCATATAGTCTTATGGCTTGTAAAGAATTTGTAAAAAGCTAACTATCTTATGTCTCATTCTTATTCCAATTGAGTCATCTACACTGTAGAATTAATGCAATGTGACATCACTTTAATTGCCATGGCTCAATGCTATGGAGTCCTGGAATTTATACTTTGTTGAGATACCAGCACTCTTTGTCAGAGAAGGATAAAGACCTTGTGAAACTACTACTTTCATGATTGCATAGTACTGAGCCATGTCAGTTAAAGTCAAACTGCACTGATTCCACAGTGTAGATCATGTGGCAGAATGTAAAATAAACCACATGTAGTTCATGTTTGATCAGGCCACACACTGCCTTGCCAGGGAAAGAAAAAATGAACAGTAAAGAACAAGTAGTTTACTCCCAACCTCTAAGGATGCCTGCCATAGATGCAGGCAAAACATCAGGAGAGAATGCTTCTGGAACATGGCTATATAGCCCAAACAACCTACAACAACCAAGTGATTCCAGCCATGAAAGCCTTTTACAATATAAGTAGTTTACTCTTTTTAGTTCAGAACAACATATGTACAATATGATCAGTTGCATCAACTCACTAAATGTCCTTTCCTGAGAGATTTAAAATTTTCATTTCTGTGTCCATATGAGACACTTTCTTTTCAGCAGCCAAAAAGCAAATTAGTCTCTCTCTCTGCTTCTTTCTTCATCTCTCTCTGCAACAGCATAGCTTGAGCCTGAATAAAATGCAACAGTATCCAAAAGTCCCAGGCTCAGCCATCACCCCGAGCAGTGCCCGACCAATCAGCTTCATGCATTTTATTTTTCAGTTGACACACACACATTCACTGATTGCTTGCATGCTGCAACAATTTCTAATAGTCCAAAACATCTGGAGAGCCAAAGTTTGCCCATGCCTGATATAGATGCACCCTATGTTACTTCTCATCCATAACTTGCAAAATCTGTTTCAAGGTTAAGTAAACATTATCTACTTATGGGTAGGACTAACAGCATCTCCCAACAACTTCTCTTCCTCCTTTGAAAAATAATGCTGTCCCACCACTCTATATACTGATTCAAAATACAACTTTCTAACATTATTTTGTCTGTCTGCAAGGACATCTATCAGAAAACATTGATGTAATGGTTTCAGTTAAAAATAGTCAGGTCTGCCAGGAAAGTGATTGTAGTAGAACCCGAGGGAGAGTCAGATGACAAGTGACCTTCAAATACTATCTCATTGTTTAAGACCGTATAAAACATGTATAGTTTTCCAATCAATACCAGGTCCAAATTCTTCCACTATGAGCAACATTTCATCAACCACAGCACTGACTTATTTATGAGTTCTCTCAGTACCAGATTTTAACAATAAATACAGGATTCATTCATCCCCTCCTCTCTGTCCCCAAACACATTGTGTTGCATGCAGACTACATAAGTGTAACTTCAACTACACTGGCTTATTCAAACATTTATTTGCTGTTTTTTGACCTTACCAATGTTGGAAATTATTTATTTATTTATTTATTTACATCATTTATATCCGGCCCATATCAGCCCGCAGGCGACTCAGGGCGGTCTACATATCGGCACAATTCGATGCCATCAATACATACATTCAAAAGCAAAGACAATTAAGTGCATTTGAACTAAAAATTTAAAAAGAGCTATATCCTCTCATTCCAATCCTCATCCGTTTCATCGTCTTGGCCGTTCCTGGGTCATTCTCCATTTCAAGCTTGACTATCTATTCCGGCGTTCCGAATGCTTGGTCGAAGAGCCAGGTTTTCACTCTCTTCCAAAAAGTCAGGAGGGAGGGGGCTGATCTAATATCCCTAGGCAAGGAGTTCCACAGCTGAGGGGCCACCATAGACACAAATGACAACCTTCTTCAAGACTTCTCCAGTAATGTTTATCTATGGTCTTGTTGCTTACTGTTTCCTGTATGTATGTTCTGATATGCAGCTTCCTTTACTCTATAGTTTCTGAGAAGTTATAAAAGGGGCTGCAGACCACATGATCACTATAGCCATCTACAGACTACTTTAGACCTCAGATCACACACTTGTTTGCTGTTTTGATGTAAGAGATGTCTTGGCCGGATGGCACAGAGAATTATATCAAACCTACCTGAACTGGACTGATAAGTTTGATACCTGTGTATGTTGAATAATAATAACAACAACAACACTTTATTTATATTCTGTCCTTCTCACCCCGAAGGGGACTCAAGGTGGATCACACTACACATACACGGCAAACATTCAATGTCGCTTTGTATAGACAATACACAGACAGAACAGAAGGAGGTGTCATGGAAGGTTGGGCTCGAGTCCAGGGGGTGCTGTTGCTCTATTCTCTATGACGAAGAGCAGTCAGGACTTCTTCCAGCATTTTCTAATCTTCTTTCTTTATGGAGTCATAAAACACCTCCCCCGCTTTTAGTGGTATCTAATTTCTCTAATCACAGCTAAAGCTGTTTTTAAATTACTTAGGTAAACAATGAGCTAGGCTGACAGTTGGCAGCTCACGCCAACCCGGGGCTTTGAATTTGCAACCTTTTGGTTGATAGATCTTATAATTGCTGCTGATTTACCAGCTGTGCTAAATCTGAAGGTTGTGAGTAAACCAGATGTGTTATTTTTAATATCAAAGTCTACTTCATATTTGTCTCTTGAGTGCATGATATAAAACAAGTTGTTTTATGGGAGAGTGTATATATATTTTGGGCACTGCTGTTTTTAATGCACTGGCAAAATCTCTGTTTTCCTAACAGATCAGGGATAACAGGTTATTCAGTCTAATAACTGAAACCATTGCCTTGCATAATGATGTCTGTTTGTATAACACAAGAGAAAATTATACTCTAGAGTTTTTGGCTCTTCTCTGAAAGACCATGCTTTTCTTGAAAAAGTTATGATCTCCAAAAGGTGTTTTTCTAAAAGATTTTAAATGCTGTTTTCCAAAAACCAAAGATTCCCATGACAGGTTACCTTTTCAATAAACAAATAAACACCAGTGCCAATTAAATAAGAGATCTTCAAGACATTAACACAAAGAAATGTAGAGTCAAAATCTCCTATTTAAAAGTCAGGGAAGGGATTTAAAAATATTACTTTGCTCTTGTAAAAAGTTATCATAGATAACTTTGCCCTCACCTCCCAGTTTTTGAACTGGTTATAGATAACTTTGCCCCCACCTCCCAGTTTTTGAACTGGTTCATATAACAGCACTGTAGCAGCAAACTGCAGGCTAATCTAGGGCCCTTCCACACAGTCATATAACCCAGAATATCAAGGTAGATAATCCACAATATTTGCTTTGAACCGGATTATCTGAGTAATATAAATAAAGTAAATGAAGAACAACACTCAGAAAACAGGAGAATTCCAGACAGAAAACAATCAGGACCAGCTAACACTTCCTAACAAAGGATTATCCCAGGCAGTAAGCAGCCACTCCTGGAATCTGCAAGGCCATTCA